GGATTTTTTTCAGTTCAAATGGTAATTTCAATGAGGCAACAGCCAATATAGCAGAGAAAGCAGAAAAATACTATGGGATAATAAAAATATTAAACTTTCTTTACACTTATTTAACGTTTTTATAAAACCCATCCTTCTATATGGATCAGTGGTATGGGGACAAAGTTTCATCAACAACAACAAATGGGAAAAAAACACGATAGAAAAAATTCATTTGAAGTTTTGTAAGCAAATCTTGCAGATTAACAGGGCCTCATGTAATCTAGCAGCAAGAGCAGAATTGGGGCAATATCCTCTTTTAATTGACATCAAAAAATTGTGGAATTACCAGATGATTATCTAACTAAACAGGCATTCTATGAACAGAAAAAGTCATCTATATCAAATAGTTGGTTCATTAATCTTAAAACCATATTACAGGAAGCATCATTAGATTTTCTTTTGAAAAGTAAAATCATCAAAACACAAATAAGAAAAATCTGTAAAATGTTACAATCAAAATTTACAAAGCAGGTATGTGAACAAGTGGAGAACTGCTATATCAAATAAAAAGTCTGAACTCGGAACATATCCAAAATTTAAAAAAACAAAAACAATTTGGAGCCTTACTTACTTAATTTGAATGGTGAAAAAAGCAAAATGTTCACTAAATTCAGAGTTAGCGACCATAGTTTAGCTATTGAAAAAAGCAGACATTCTATCCCAAAATTTTCAATAAATAGCAGACTTTGTCAATTTTGTAATAATTGCATTGAAGATGAGATCCATTTTCTTTTAGATTGTCAAAAATATGAACAGCACAGATCTCAACTGTTACATAAAATTAGAGTTCCGGCTGACAATAACATTTCTCGTTTCACATATTTACTTTCACATCAAGATAAATTAGTTCAACGAGAGATATCAAACTTTATTTTAGCTGCGACCAAAATTAGAGATTAGATTTCTTTAATAATTGATTTGTGTATTTATGTTTATACATATTTATTTATTTGTAACTTTTAAGTACATTCATTCTAGTTATTTTCAAAATATTGTCTTGTTCACAAAAATTCTTTATTGTTGCAAACACCCTATGTAACCAACTCTTTTTTCACACCGGAACAAAATGTTCATTTATTCAGTATATCTAGTATAGTACCACGTGTCTTCCTTAGTATAAGTAGTATTGTACCGCGTGTCATCCTTAGTATACCTAGTATAGTACCGCCTGTCTTCCTTAGTATACCTAGCATAGTACCACGTGTCTTCCTTAGTATACCTAGTATAGTACTGCGTGTCTTCCTTAGTATACCTAGTATAGTACCACGTGTCTTCCTTGGTATACCTAGTATAGTACCGCGTGTCTTCCTTAGTATGCCTAGTATAGTACCGCGTGTCTTCCTTAGTATGCCTAGTATAGTACCACGTGTCTTCCTTAGTATACCTAGTATAGTACTGCGTGTCTTCCTTAGTATGCCTAGTATAGTACCGCGTGTCTTCCTTAGTATACCTAGTATAGTACCACTGTCTTCCTGAGACGTTACCAAGCTTTAATTAGGTATTTTTTAGGTGATTGGAAGGTATCGAAGGAGTCGCCGGCGGTAATTAGTACGCCCAGATCAAACCTCAAACTTGTGATTTCAAATGTCGCACATGCGCGACGACCACCGCCCTTTAATATTAGGG